TTGACCTTTGTTGTGACCTTTGATTGCAATGTGTCGTCAAGCGTACGCTTGTGCTATTATGTATCATTTCTTTTTTTTCTCAAGTGCTTAGCGATGAAATTGCATTGCCTACTGTGATAGTTTGCAATAATGCATCTTTGATTATGTGGCTGAGTTGTGTAAATTTACTAGAAAGGGAATTTTCCGTAACTTTGTGGGCCTACATCCTCTGTCACCCGTCATGTTGGTTAATAAATAACCGCTGCCGCGTCCCCGCAGGAAAACATGTTCTCGTTCGAGGTCGAGAAGGAAAAGTACGCGCTGAAGCCGATGAACTGCCCGGGTCACTGTCTGATCTTCGACCACCGGCCCCGCTCGTGGCGCGAGCTGCCGCTCCGGCTGGCCGACTTCGGCGTGCTGCACCGCAACGAGCTCTCAGGAGCGCTGTCCGGCCTGACGCGCGTGCGCCGCTTCCAGCAGGACGACGCGCACATCTTCTGTACCCACGACCAGGTATGTGATACAGGAGAGGGTAGAGGCGGGTGGCTGACGACAGAGGCTCGTCCGGTGCAGGGTTAGGCAATAGCCGCAGCGGTGCGTGCAACAGATCCACGGCTAGAGGGGAGGTTAATCCTGTCCGGTTCGATGGTTCCGGCAATGTAGCTTTCCGTTGTGTGATATTCTAAGGCTTGGTACGTTATTACAACGCACACGCCCTAGAAATATACTTAACGTAAATGTTTTTTTATCGACTTGCAGTAATCGTATGTGGTTAACCCGCGCCCGGCTGGGGGTCCTGGATTTCCACGCCCTGCTGGGGGGGGGGGGGTGTTTGAACACACCCCCCCTTCTAACTCGGCTCCTGGGCCACGTAGCGATACGCGGAAGGCGGCGTTCGAAAGAGCGTCAAAAATAATGACGAAATCACCTCGGTCAATTTTTTGGTCAGGTCAAAGGTCAGGTCACCAGAGGTCATTGAAGGCAAAATTTCGCCGATTTCCAGGTCGAATGTCGACAATTTCCAAGAAGCCAACGCATAACTCGGGAACCAATAGAGCTACAGTGCCGCGGAAAAGCGCATTCGATAGCCCTATTAACGCCCTTTCTGAGTAATTCTCTCAGATTTGACCTAACGTCAACAGTTTTGCCTGCAGGGGGCAAAAACTGCAAAAATAGCCGATTTTTTCGGAAACGGTTTTTCTGCAATAACTTTTGACCCAAGCCTTGTACGAGCTTACTTTTACCGGCATCGTGTTCCTCTCGTCAAGACGCATCGAATGAACTATAACTTGACCTTGAAAGGTCAACTTGAAAATTTGACCTCAGGTCAAGGTCATGACCTGACCGGAAAGGGTCATGTTGCATATCAGTCGATCCGTATCGTCGAGCTGAACACATCTAAGGCGTTTTCATCGCTCTAGCATGCCTCTATCAAAAGTTATTTGCGAAAAACTGTTAGATACCATTCGTGACCTAAGATGACCTCAGGGCATAAACAGGGGTCACGGACACCATTTTCATGTTCAGTGTGTCTAAACCACTTGTAATTCAGTGTTTGGGAGTGTTTATAATGTCTTTCGTTCAAAAGAGGCGCATTTCAATTTTCTCCCATTGACTTATAATGGGGAGGTCGCAAAATTGACCTGACCTTAGGTCATCGATATCAAAATTCTGAGATATACATTTTGTACATGCTATTGCTCTTAGCAATCGCTGAAAGTTTCAAAGCGATCGGTCACTCGGTGTAGCTATGACAGACATGAAAACTTTTTATGAGGTGAGGTCACTTCAAGTGACCTGGTGACCTGACCTTGAATGACCTTGGTCTGAAATTTTCACAACATGTGTAGAATTGATGTATGATAAGGTGTACCAAAAACGGCGGCGCTCCGCGCCGCCGTTTTTGAGATATTCGCGAAAAAACACAAGGGGGGGTGTTCAAACACCCTCCCCCAGCAGGGCGCGGGTTAAACTGCTGTTTTGGATACGTGATATTGGATTACGTTAGATATGCGTGAGATATATGGAGTCGGCCCCACAGCCCCCCTCGACTGAATGTATCGTCAAGCTGACGTCGTCCCGCCCTGTATGTCCGCAGATCAAGTCTGAGGTGAAGGGTGCGCTGGCGTTCCTCAGGGACGTGTACTCGGTGTTCGGCTTTTCGTTCCAGCTGAACCTCAGCACCCGGCCCGAGAAGTTCCTAGGAGAGGTCGAGGTGAGAATGAGTGGAGGGAGAGATGGTAGATAAGGAGGAAAGGGAGATCAAGGGAATACCGGATCTGGATTCTGGAGGAAAGTACCAGGGAGCTTAGATGGGTGACCTGATGGGACTAAGTTGAGGGGGACGGTTGTTGGATTACGAGTAAAATGACTGGAGTGAATAGGTGAGTAAGGTACTAACGGGAACGAAGGACTCAAGGAACGTCTGGAAAATATGTGGAAAAGGATGACAACGGCAGTTGAAACAGGAAAACAGAAAGTTGACGGATCAGAGGGACTGGTGAACGTTCCCCGTCCGACGGTCGTGAGGGACTAATGAATGTTCCTCGTCTGACGACTCGAGCCGTTACACTCTCCCCGTCTGACGGCCCCCCCCCCTTCCCCTCAGCTCTGGGACGACGCCGAGAAGCAGCTGAAGGAGTCGCTGGACGACTTTGGCCAGGAGTGGCAGCTGAACCCTGGCGACGGCGCCTTCTACGGGCCCAAGATCGACATTCGCGTACTGGACGCGCTGCGCCGATACCACCAGTGCGCCACCATCCAGCTGGACTTCCAGATGCCGATCCGGTTCAACCTCAACTACATCAGGTGAGCCGTGTGGGTCCTAATGGCTGGGCTTCTGCTGTGGTAGAAGGGGCGAGACGGGTAATCAGTGTCGTAGAGTTGAGCCGAGATGGCGCCACTTGTTGCTCCCTTAATTGTGCAGCATTTCCAGCACTTTCGGATACTGTCACGTCATGTCACGCTTATTTGTTCTCTCCCCTGTCTAAATGGCTGCCTTTCAAGACCCCCTTCTCTCGCTTTCCCATCTGACCGCCTCATCTCTCCCTCACAGTGAGAGCGGTGAGAAGCACTTGGTGTTCCTTCCTTTAGCCCTCTCCCATCTGAACGTCCGTCCCACACCCCACAGTGAGGGCGGCGAGAAGTACCAGGCCGTCCGCTTCACCGTTTTTCCGTCCGCCCCATCTCCTTCTCACAGTGAGAGCGGCGAGAAGTGTCACCCCCTGTCTCACCCATCTAATCTTCCGCCCCATCTCCCTCTCACAGTGAGAGCGGCGAGAAGAAGCGCCCGGTGATCATCCACCGCGCCGTGCTGGGCTCCGTGGAGCGGATGATCGCTATCCTCACCGAGTCGTACGGCGGCAAGTGGCCCTTCTGGCTGTCCCCCCGCCAGGCGGCCGTGGTGCCCGTCGGACCCGCCTACGACGCCTACGCCGAACAGGTGCGGGACCAGGTGCACGCCGCCGGCTTCTGCTGTGACGCAGACCTCGACGCCGGGGATACCATGAACAAGAAGATCCGCAACGCGCAGCTGGCACAGTATAACTTCATCTTCGTGGTGGGGGAGAAGGAGCAGAGCAATGGCACCGTGAATGTGCGCACGCGCGACAACAAGGTGCACGGTGAGCACCCGGTCAGTCACGTGGTGGAACGCTTCAAGCACCTGCGGGACGTGAAGAGTCAGCACGCTGAGGAGGAGTTCTAGCCGCGGCACACGCACCGAGCGACGGCGACGGTGAGTTGGAAAGGGACTAGGTGCTCGGGTAAAACGTCCGATTATGTGCTTTGTTGATTAGGGAATCGGGTACTGAATAAACATCAGTTGATTTTTTATTGCAATCACACCGATGTGAATATTCCAGTGTGAATGTTTTCATGTTTAGCCAAAAATTTATGGGCGTTTGGGCAGGTCTTCATTCTGAATCTCCGAAAATCAGTGGTAATTTCGGTGTCCCATCTCACTCACCTGTTCCGAGACCCGATCTGGCAATGCCGATCACCTAATGAATATTCCGGACACCTGAAACCATTAACTCATCATCAGCCATCCGGAGAGCTGGACCACAGGCCACCGTCTGATCTATTATTCGTGTTTTCAGCTCCGGACGGCCGCTGGGACAGGTTGTGATTGGTCGGACCATGCACTCCCGCGCACGCTCACCGCAGCACAGCCGGCGGAGGGGACTTATCGTGTCGCCAGTGCCGAGGTCGCCCCGGTCCGCGCTCTCCAAGCTCCATCCAAAGAAGCCTCCGCTGTGATTCATTTGATTCCTACCCGGTAAATCGTGACACTGCGGTGGCCTGTCGGGCTGAATCCTGACCGGGACGGAGTCTTTTAGAAAAATATATGATTGCTGGCTCTACCATCTGTGTTTTAGTGTGGTGGATGTACAATGATGTGGCTCAGCAGCGAAGAAAAATGTTGAACCCTGGAGGTGTTTATTTTTCGGTATGATCATCGAACAGTGGAGTGTGCAATGAATATATCATTCGATTGGATTAACACTTCTATTTGAACCCGTTATCTGACTTCGGAGAGGGGGGAGCGAGTTTGAAATGGAAAAGACCGCTGCTTTGTGTATATCTGCTAGTGTGAATTTATACTTCGATTTAAGTGAAATGACTTGGCTGTACTGACAGACAGACAGACAGACAGGGAGGGGAGGGAACAATTCATCAGTGCGGGATGGTGCGGGCTATGAATTCATCAGTGCATCAGTCTTCCCAATGGCAGATGAGTTCCCGATAGACTCAGGGTCAGGGATAATCTCAACGAACTACCGGATCAATTACGATCCGCATGACCTAACCATAAACTCGGAGACCAGAGTTGACCGTGAGAATTTATCATCATTGCTGAGCAGCCGTTCAATCTTCCACCCCAGTCCGATCGCTGTACCACATCTCTTTCCTCTGGCACCATTCCAACTGATTACCCCTGGCACTCCTCACCATCCGGTGCCTGTTCCTTCCTGGCGCCTCTGAGGACAATGACCCCGCTCTCTGCTCCGGCTGCTCTGCCCCCTCTCCCGGCCCTCCTGGCAGCCGCCTCTGGATCGATCTTCAGACGCGCGGTCGGCTCGTCGCGGCACCGCGGCCGCCGCCGCAGTGGTCTTGGTCAAGGCTGAGTGTTTACCGAGCAGCGGCCGCCGCCGGGTGGGCCACGAGCTCCCGCACAGGTGAGAGGGAATGGGGGGACGGATAGAGGATGAGAGGAAAAGGAATGGTGTGGGTCGTTTGAAGGGAGGTGGTGAGTTATTTGTTCAGCATCGTGGTTATGAGTCTTGCGCATTATTTGATTGTGTGTTGTTTGTGGACTGGGAACCTGTTGATCTGCCGCGTTGACTGTTAACCCTCGCCCCGTTGGGGGGGGGCATTTTGGCCCCCCCCCTGTGGTTTTTCCTGAATAGCAAGAAAACGGCGGCGCGCGGCGCCGCCAAATTTTCAGTACCTTCCCGGGCATCAATTTGACACCTTCACACCGAATTTCAAGTCTTAGGTCACCTTAGGTCAGGAGTTATTGAGGTCAAACTGAGGTCATGTTCGAGCATAAATGAGCAAAAAACATGCAATCTTGAAACGCTCACCAAATCTACAGTTATCACGCAATTTCAAAGTTCTTTATATGGTCTAGTAGACAAAAAGCGGCGCTACAAAACTGCTATCTCGGATTTTCAAAATTTTTGGTTTTTGACCAAAAAAATTCAAAAAATTGATTTTTTTTTAGAAAAACTTTGAAAAAATCCAAAAAATTTCCGAATTTCGAAAAAAAAAACCGGAATATATGTGATAGTCCCAGCGCTCTTCTATATACATACCAAATTTCAGATCGATATCTCGTTTTTTGGCCAAGTTATAGCGAAAAAACTTCAAAAATGATGACGTCAAATTTTTGAACTCAATTTTTTAGCAATTCTAGACCACGTACGGCAAAACAGAGACCACCATTGAACTCCCCGTGACGAGCTGCATCGATTCGATACCCATTTTATGCAAAAATATTAACTTTGAAATTTGACCTAATTTGACCTGACCTTGACCTGACCTTGACCTGACCTTGACCAAAACGTGATCTAAGCTGGCCCCAAAGGCTGCCTGACCCATATAATCGCATTTATCATGTAAAATGGACCATAAAACATGTATCACACGACACTTTCATATTGTGACCCCCCCCCCCGTGACCTGACCTCTGTGACCTGACCTGGTATCAGTGACCTCAAATAGCAAAATATGTGTTTGAAGAACATTTCCCCATCGATGATTTTCAATGAAATGCATTTTACTCGATTTTACAACGCATTTCTTGAAGTGCCTGTAAACGGTGAAAATTGGACCTTTGACCTGACCTGTGACGTCATCGGTTTGACCTAGGTCAATAAAATTGGGTCACAAGGTAGTTCCCCGTTGGGGCTATCCAACGCCGTTTACCGCTTGTCGCTAAGTTGCGTGGTTCTCGAGATCTTAGGGGGGGGGCCAAAATGGTCCCCCCCCCCAACCGGGCGCGTTGCTCGGCAGAGCCCAACGGGGCGCGGGTTAATAAAGGTTTTGTTAGAAGCTCATTTCAATTGCCGAAAGGCTCAGTTAAGCGCGGATTACACGGATGCGAAGGACATCATTCTATCATGTTCTTATAACATCTCGTGATGACGCTTTGTTATGATCACTGAGTCGAATGTCAGTTGCCCCAACTTTTGTTCCAACGCCCATGCGTTTGACGTTTCCATATGTTCATATGTATATTCAAAAAATTTAGCTAGATAAGTGGATGACAGTTTTCATGACGTTTTTATCTCCCTCCAAGCACCAATAATTGACACGAATGGACGGACAGAAGAGCCAATAACGGCCAATAAGCCAAACCCACTATCGTCACTACAACTTCACGCGTTGGTGTCTTTCAGCGTTCGTCGGCTCCGTGACTGTCGTCTCCTGCCCCGGCCTTCCCGCTCTAAGTCCCGGAGCGACGATGTGGCCTTGATAGGTCACCAGACCACCTAAGGCCAGCCGTCGATTCCCTAGACCGTGAGTCGGTCCGCCAGCCCGTCCGTCCGTCGGTCGGTCCTTCTGTCGGTCATCCGGTCGGTTGGTGCGAGCGCCAAGTGATGGCACGGGTACCACCGTCTCTGGGGACTGTCCTGACGTCTCTTCTGCTGGTGCTGGTGACGGTGATGGTGATGGCTGCACCAGCGATGGCAGCACCACGCTCTCTGCCAGACCAGAGCATCAGGTCGTACATCAGTCAGGTGAGAAAGGAATGTTTAAGCGCACATTAGCTAGAAGGGAAAGATATGGTGGATTATCCATTAGTCAAGTGAGGGAAGGGCTGTTTGAATCGTGTATTAGCTGGGTCCGAGTTGTATGTCACGTTTTGCATTGTTCGAGTGCGAGTGGTGAGTTCGGTCGTACTCCATTGGTTTGATGAAAATCGCGCAAGTCGTACAATTTTCAGATGAGCAGGGACCGTTTAATCGCATGTCACTCATGCAAGAATGGTACTGTCGTAGTGTCGTACATTATTCACTTTAGGCGAGTGTTATAAATTGACCCATCCCGTTAGGGGTAATTGGAATACCAAAGTAAGCTACCTACGTTTGTCTGGTAGATTGACCGTCATCCCGGAACAAGGACATCAAAGGCTAGAAAGTGCTAGTCTACCGACATGTGACAGACACGAGGATTAAAGTGACGTGTGAAGGTCTGATACAATGCAGTGCATTATCAGTTTATCAAATACATTCCTTGGCCGGTGTAAAGTGTTTAGGATCTTGTCCGAGTTCCTTTTCTTTTGGGTTAGGCCCTTTCGGTCTGGGCAAATACCCTGGTGAGTCACCTGGGCCGAGCCCGTCCAGAGGACAGGCCACCCGGCACCCACCCCCTGAGAGTCACCGCAGCTGCGGGCGTGCTCCGATGGAGCTGCCCGCATGAGATGAAGTTGCTCGTCCGGCCCGAGACTCCCCAGGCTGGGGAGTGGAGAAGGATTTTATTGTCCTGAGAATAGAAACGACGGAACGGTGTTACTAATCTGGCGCAATCTGACACTCCCTCCCTCCGGCCTTTCTCCCCGGCAGAGGGCGTGCTGGTGGAACGAGCTCTGTAAGGAGGAGTTTCAGCCCATGTTCAAGTGCCGCTGCCCCAAGTTCTCCTACTGCCGATCGCCGGGGAAGTACTACAACGCCCGCTGCGCCATGTCGAGCACCGGTTACATCTGGATGCAGCCGGAGACGCGCTGGTCGCTGCTCTCCTAGTGCTGCCACCTGTTCACGGGTCGGCGTGGCTGTAGTTAGGTCCGGGTGTTACGCTGAGAAAAGCAGGTTATCGAGGCGAATAGAACAGGGTACAGTGGTGTTTGTATCAGAATGATGTTCGCTTAGAAGCTGTTTGTTGAGCTCATTTTAACCGTTGTTCGCAACATTACTAACCAAATAATTGCAGCCCACAGTTCTTCTAGGCTGATAATACACAACGCCAAATATCCGAGCGAGCCATCCCATTTGAATATCAGTCTTCTTCGCTATTTCCGGGACATCTGAAGCCGTGCCAACGTAGACTGTGTTTTGCATTAGCCTGAAGTGCGGCTGTATAACATGCAGAGTGTTGTTGTTGCTGTTGATAGTGCTGTTTATTCTTGTATGCAAGTGTTCGCGAACGTGCTATTGGCGGCAACCTATTATGATGGCCGGAATATGTCTGAATATGGATAGCCATAGCCTAGGTTGAACCACACCGGATATGCGAATAAGCTTAGCATAGCTGACTATAAGCTACTCTATAAATCAAAATGATACAAGTAAGTTACTTTTCTCGATGTCACGGAAAATATGTTTCTAACTTCTTTATCCAAGTTTTTCTTACTAAAGCGAACACTACGCTCACCGTTAATTTTATTCGCATTACTTGAGCTATTTGTCAATGCGGTGAATGACAACTATCTAGCTGTTTTGTGAGCGTTTGAACATGTACCTCTTCTTGAAATTGCTTTATGTTTAGCTCAGCAATGATTAAACATTCGTTAGTGTTGTTTCAGCTATTGTTACAGCCAATAATATATTTAACTGGGATGATCTGCCCTCCTGTGTAGCATTCCTTCGCGGAGCAATGATATGTGTATTTGTTTGCTTTGTCGGAAGCCTGACTCCTCCACGCGTGTGATCTGAGCTAAGCTGAACCCTTCATACGGAGTGAACCCGGAACGTCGGACTCCGTAAGCTGTTGGGTACTTACTACTTACTTTCCCGTTCCTAGATGGCGCTAGTATACAAGCCTGACGTGGTAGGCTGTGCCGGTGGGCTCGCTGCGCTTGCGCATATCGCTCCTAGATGGCAGTAGTTGCAAACGCCTGGATGGCTATGCTGCACCGCAATGCCTGAGGCGGCGGCCGCCCGTGGCTCGTAGGTAACGTTGCGAAGCAGGAATGACATCGAACTAAATGATGGATCCAAATGATCCAGATATCCAGATCCAGATAAACGGTGTATAATAACAGCTTTTTCCGGAGAGAATATGGAGCTTTATTAGCTATTACCTACGGTGTGCGGTGACTGTTATTTGACACAATGGGTAACCATGACCGCATAGCACTATGAATGCAAGGATGAAATGAAATATAGCGACAGGAGCCTAAATCGTTATTTGTCTGCGCGTATGTTCAACCTATCTTCTCCCATGTTCCCGGTAATCTCCGCCCGCACTGTTGACACAGTCCTGTATCTCCTGTCCTTGATCGGCGCCGATGTGCTCTGTTTGTGTTCACCAATGACGCGCGGCCGACTCGGTGACCTGTCCGTCCAGGGTCGATCGATGGCCAGCAGTGACGTCACACCCGTTACCATGACGACAGCAGGTTGCGTGGGCCGGCGCGCCGGGTGCCGGTGCCGTCGGCGGCAGCGTCGGCAGTGTTGCAGGTGCAGTGAGGATGGCGGGGTCGCCAGCCGGCATGTCGGCGCTGCTGCTGCTGCTGCTGGCGGTCCGCCCGGGCCAGCCAGCTGCTCTGTATCCAGCCAGTCTGCAGCTGCAGCTGCCGCAGCTCTACAGCCAGCTGGATGGGGTGCTGGACTCGATGGTGAGTGGTGATCGAACGCCATATGGTGGCGGTAAGATGCGGGCGGCCCGCGACCAACAGGTCTCATGGGCCGGTGGGTGGCCAGGGCGCCGGCCGACGCGCCTGCTGGCCTGTTGCACTTAGGTTAGGCCTTCAGTGTCATTATTTTTGCCGTTCAATAGGATCTGTGTGATGGATGTTTCAGGATGTGTGACATTTCTTTCACATATGCGCTCACTTATTTACCTTTGTAAGCGAATGAGAACAGGCTCTATCTCGTCAGCGTAGTTCGGGATTCTTTTGAATTTCCTGTTACCCCATGGTCCCCAGTTGTGTAGACGTTTTCTTGGAATGACAATGGTATTTATTACCCGAAAGTAATCGCTGCGGCTACACTAGTTATACAGTATACCTACACCATATATTTGTATGTTCCTTGCCGCTCGAAAAAAAAAAAATTAGTTTCCTCATGGCCGTTTCCTTTCATGCCGCAATTGGCTAATAGGTTAGCTTTTCGTGTATTTCCTGAACAACCAATCACCGTCCTTGCCGATACTTTCCTCACTCCTCAGATAAATTTGTTTGGGCTGCCCGAGGTGCCGCATGTGACCTGTCCTCACATCCCTCACCTTCCCCCTAAGATGAAGGTGCCGGATGTGCCGTCACCTTCCCTCACATCACCCACCCCCCACCCCCCTCTCCCCTAAGATGGAGGTGCCCAAGGTGCCGTCACCGACCTTTTCCGACAGACCCTTCCCCCTCTCTTCAGATGGAGGTGCCCGATGTGCCGTCTCCGATGGCCGAGGGCCACTGGCCGCGTCGACCGCTAAACGTCGGCCCCGTCAGCGGCGTCGCCGTCGACACTCTGGACCGTCCGGTCATCTTCCATCGGGCCAACCACAGCTGGGAGGCGACGTGAGTACTCCACACTCTACACTACAGTCCACAGTCGACGCACTCTACAGTCCACATCCACACAGTCCACACTACTGGGACTTATTGTCCTATTGATGGGTCACCTTCCACCGGACCAACCACAGCTGGGGGGTGCTCGGAGTTTCTCGCATTGCAGGAACCTACTGTTAAAATTCGAAGTATTCGCCCATTATGGTCTGGCTATATGGACCTCGCCTCGCCAGATGCGTTACCATTCACGCGACTTTTCGGTCAGTTGTTTCTCCGACCCTTGGTTTTGGTACCCTTGCTTGTTCCTGGTGTGCTCCTGCAGATGAGCCGTTAGTCGGTTTGTGTCATGTGGATTAAATGGCGTACTTAGCGCTAAAAAAAGAAATTTGATGTCTTGATGCCGTGCCATAGACTTCTCTATAGCAAGACCGGATATCAAAACCGTTATGCAAGACTGGCATTCTACGTACACAGTTCAGTAATACACGGTAGTCTATGACCGTGGAAGAGCTTCATCCTTCTTACTTCGTTCCACTCGGTAAGCTACTTGGGATCTCAAATCTACCTAAACTATAAAATATTTAAATATTTCTGACGAGATAACATTTCACTGGAACGTTGAGCCCTGGGGTTGAAAATAATTTCCTTTAGAAGTTTACTTTTAGTTTCAACAAAGGCACCGTTTCCACTTTTATCGTTCTCGGCAACATTCCGCGCCGTAGCAGTAGCTGCCTCGCTTTGTTGCGATTCCAAGTTAAAGAATGTATAAATACACCAGGCGGATGTATTTTTGATCGTCAGCAAAATGAACAACCATGGCAGGGCAGGGCTCCGACTCGGCCCAGTACAAACTCTGCACCAAGATACGCCTACTCGATGAAATGAGAGCCTCGTTCATGGCTCCCCAATCCGTAAATATCCTCCCTGAATAGGCGCGTTGCCGTATGAAATAGCGACCTTGCAAGGCACGCTCAAATGATACGAACAGCTCCGCGAATATGCTCACCGAACAGGCCGCTCAGACTAGTAAGGCTAACATATTCACGGCGCTGTGCTATCGGTGGTTGGGTCCAAAAAGCGTATGTGGAACGAGCCGGACAGACTCAGTCCCAGATTTAGACCCTCGAATGCATATGCGTCGCCGAGTAAGCCGACAGCAAGCCTCTCAGACGAGACTGCCGACGTCCCCAGCAAACGCATATAACATTCGAGGTCCCAACGCACCAGCCGCGACAACAGACATTGCCCGACTGCCCTCCGCCGGCGCGCCCTCACCCGACCTCACCTCACAATCACGTGGTCAGCAGCCGACCAATCACTGCACGAGTCCGCGCCGCACAGCCCCGCTCCAGCGAGAGATGCTGTGCCGCAAAACAGCGGCCGCGCGTCGGCCGAGGAGAAATACGGGCGGCCGAGCCGACACAAGCGGGCGAAAAGACGATAACTAAATTGACAGTTCTAACATACTCCCCACCAAAATGGGGCTTGCCCCATTTTCATAACTAAAGTCCGCTTTAGCACATCACCGGCGCACCACTCCCATGACTGTCCTGCGCAGACCGCCGCAGAACTGGAGGTCGCCGGCCGTGGCCGCGTCTGTGTCAACGCTCAGCTGGAAGCCATCGGCGGCGGCGGCGGGCGCCGCCACCTCAGCGTCCTCCTCGTCGTCATCGTCGAAGTGCCTGCCGATGATGAGGACGGCTCGTCCTCGTACGTCTGCAGCGACTCGATGCGGTCCAGGCCGCCGCACTCATCCACCTGGAGAGCCACGGTGCCCTCCCGGTCCACCTGCTCGGCGCACCTCAGCACGTTCGACAGCGCGTCCGGGAAGACCATGATGAGGTTGACGTCCTCGACGGCCAGCAGGTCACAGCGAGGCTCGGCGGCGCCCAGTCGGCACAGCTCCGCCACCAGCTCCTGGGAGCCGCCCGACGTCAGGTTCAGGATCACCATCACCCGGACGGCCTCCCGCTGCGACCGGTGGTCGTCCTTCTGAAGCATCTCCAGGACGTCAACGATGACACTAAAAAGACAAGAAAGATTCGTGAGTAGCGAGAACAGCAGATCGCATAATCCAGCGGCAACATGGCGCTGCCAAGCTGCCACGCACTCAGCCGACAGACTGAGCTTGCCATCCTTCTACCGCCTAGATTGCCTTTCTGCGACCAAATAATATAAACACTTAACTAAGCTTATCCTATAGTTAACCTACTATCCTTTTCAGACCCCGCGAATCACTGCCAAAAGCCTCCCCACCATGGGACAGTCTCGGGGATGAACCCCAACGGGGCGCGTTGCGGTGGGTTCACCCCCGACGGCGCCACCGATGCCACCGCCAGATCCCGCCGGGGTGCTTCCTCTGCACCGACGGGATGGGTCGGGGGCCGACGATCGAGGGCGCCTCACGGCACCACGACGGCCGGGAGCGGCGGCCATATGTCGGCCTCTCGTCAGAGCCCCAAACCGGGGGCGGCTCGTGGAGCTTCTCACTCCACATCAGTTGTGAGTTGGAGCGAGAGTCGTTCAGCTCATTGTCATGAATGCCAGTTGGGCTCGCGTCCCAGTCAGCAGCATCGGGCCGACTAGAAGGGCACTGGCTCGTGTGGGGACCACCATTGTCTCCACCTTTACAACCGTGGATCGTCTCGACGGCTCTCGGCCCATCAGCAACCTCCAACTGATCCCGTGGGACGACCTGATACACGTTATCAGCCTCCACAAGGACGTCAACCTCACCACCCCGGAAATCATCAGCCGTCTGGATCTCAGATGGCAACCGAGGTGGCTGAGCAGTTGGGAGCGGTGAGCACAGCACGTCTGTGCTCTTCATGTCAAGTTTGACTGACGGTCCACCGAAACGACTTTCAAGGTCAACCTGATCTCGATCATTGGTACAAGGCTGCTCGGTTCTCTCATGGAACCCGATACAGGCAAAGCCTTCGGAGCCCTTCTCAGGTAGTCTCAGCTCCTGAGCCAGGGAGCTCCTGACATAGGAGGCGTCACATCCTCCATCAAGGAAATCACGTGCCGGCGTGCGGCCATTGGGACCTGCTGCCACAACAGCAGCGGTTTGCAAGAAGCTCTTTCCTGTAGAGCTGACATTATATCGGTGACGGCTGG